TAGAATGTAAGCTCTGTGAGGACAAGGAGCTTTGTTTTGTTCACAGATGTATCCCAAGCATCTAAATCGAGGCCTGGCATGTATCAAGCACTCCACAAATATTTGTTGAGTGAGTGAAGCCTCATGACCACCTCAAGAGGTAGATAACATTCTAATGCCTGTTTACAGATTGAGAAACCATAGAGAAGGTCAAACCAGAGGGGTCACACAGAGCCAAGATTTGAACCAGGGGTCTGACTCTAGAGGCAATGCTCTTACCACTGCATTATCCTACCCAAGTGCAGGGTAGAAAATACAGTCCAGACTTCCAGAGAGCTACTCATCTTGTGTCTTCAGACTACCACTATAAGGGATTGACACATTAAAGAACTCCTGCAGGCTGTGGGTTTTCAGGAATGGGTAGGGAATTGGCCAGTGGTGTCAGGCTTTATAAACCAAGTTAGGAAGTTTGCATAAGAACAGGGCTAGGTCTGTGCTTTAGAAAAATACTGCGGACTACAGGGTGGAGGACAATGGGTGTGACAGGGCTAGAGGCAGGGCAGTCAGTTAGGGGCTGAGATAATGGTGACCTCAGCCAGGGTGGTGGCTACAGGGATGGAGAGGGTTGGTTAACGGAAGAAAGATTTAATAGTTGTGAGTGATAGGATCCTAGCAGAGAGAGAGGACAATTCCCAGGTTTGGGGTTTGGGTTAGGGTTAGAGTAGGTTACACACACACACACACACACACACACACACACACACACACACACACACACACCCTGTCTTGAACAAGTTCAACAGCAACTCTGTGTTTTCTAGTCTGGTCTATTCCTTGTTTGGCTCACATTCTTTTCTTTGCTTCAATGCTGGCTGCCACTTGTGGCATTGATTTACTGACTGGTTATGGCTGGCAGTCTGGAAACCCCTAACCAGAGCGTTTTTCCTAGGATTTGGGGCACCTGGCTCAGCAGACAGAAGTGTAGAAAGCTGTTCTCCTGTCCCCAGACCTCCTTCCCCAAGACCCTGAGTCTACTTCCTGCCCAATACTCAGCATCCTGCCCTCATCAAGCTTACAAGTATTGTCTTTCATTCTTTTGAAGAAAACCTGTTGTAGCTTTCAAGATGTTGTTCAGGCCATCTGGTCAATAAACATGTATAAATGAGGATGGAGGCGATGGGGAGCTGTTGTTGAATAGATGCAGTTTCAGTTTTGCAACATGAAAAGAGTTCTGTGGACGGACGGTGGAGAGGGTGGCACAGCAGTGTGAATGTGAAGGTACTTAAACCTGCTGGACTGTATGCAACAGAATGGTTAAGAGTGAATTTTTTGTTAGGTGTTTTTTTGCCACAATTTTCTAAAAAAAAAATTTATTTTAAAGATGCAGGGTACAATTCAGGATTAGGTATACAAGTGTCATCATACAGATAAATTTGGGCTTCCCTTTGATTCCCACTTCGTCTGGTTTGAGATGAGGTACCTTTATTGATGTTTTGTCCCCTTCACCCACAGCAGTTTCTGGCTAGGCTACTGCCAATCCTTTTCTTATTGTATTATGGTTAATGTTCAGGTTCCGCTTATGAGTGAAAATATGTGGTACTCAGTTCTTTGTTTCTGTGATAAATCACTGAGTCTTATAGACTCTAAATACATCCAAGTTGCTGCAAAGTCCATAATTTTGTTCTTATTTATGGCTGTGCAATATTCCATGGTTTATATGTACCACATTTTTTTTTGCCTTGTCCAGTTTTGATGAGCAGTATGGTTGGTTCCATGTTTCTGCTATTGTAAATAGTGCTGCAATAAGCATGCATGTCAAGGTATCTTTTTTGTAGCGTGATTTAAGGTTTCCTGGATATATTCCTAGAAGGGGGTACTGGGTCGTACGAAAGGTCAATTTCTAGTTCTTTGCCATAATTTTTTAAAACTGTGTAGACAAGCTAATAGGAAAAAAAATGCCTGGAGTGGTCTTCTGGAGATAAAGTCTCAGGATTGGAAGTGTTCTTGCAAGGTGTTTAGACCATACTTCAAGCTGCCAGTACAGTATTTCTGAGAGGTGGTATATGGTCTACAGTGATGAAGAGCTCATGGCACAAGGCAAGCTTGTTTATTTTGAAGAATTCTGACTTTTGATGACTAGAATAGTTCTTTAGATGAGCTGGAATTTTCTCTATGGCTTCCGCTATTAGACTCAAGTCCACTCCCCAAGGTCACAAAAATAACCTAAATTGCCTCTTCCATATAAAGTGCATTCAATACATATTTATGGGGTGCATCCTAAACACCACTATCTGATCTTTCAATTCTTGTCTTTTCCAGTTAAAAATTTCAAACTGACAACTGTTTCATATATGACACAATTTAATGACCCCTCAGCATCTGACTGCTCTTGTGAAATGACCGATTTTGTTGCTCTTCCTCTTTTTTTAATAACATCTAGAAACAAAAACATTACTCTAATCAATGGCCCCAAATGTTTCCATCAAAAAATGGAGGATTCAAGTGGAATGTCTGGGCTGAGGGGAACACAGTATCATGGCTGGTTGGTGAGGGGGATATCTGAGGGCCATGCTGACATGTTGCATGGAGGGCTAGATTTGTCTTTCAGATGCAAGATAATACTTAGCATGGAACCAGTCCTTAGGTCTTAAGAATAAATATGAAATCCAATCAATCTTGACTCTTTTCTCTAATTTATTCTGTCTCATCAGAAACACATAAACCATTACCCTGCTTCCCTTGAAGAGAAATGCTGTATTCTGTATAGTGTAGCACAGCACTGAGTTTGGCCACTATATAAATATACATAATGTATAATTTCCTCCCTCAACTCTGGAGCCTAAACAAATGGATTATGTTCCCAAAATTCCATAAAGCCATAATTCTGTTTAGTGGCCATGACACTCCTAAAGAATTTCATTCTAAATATAGAGAAGTATTCCTCTGCAGAAAAATATCTCAGCAAGTTGGTTCTAATATATAATTAAATCCCCTCTAGATACTTTGCAGTTATGTTTTATGGCTTATTTTCAGTGTTCATATTTTATCAGAAAATTATAATTTTCCTCTAAATAGGAGTTTTTATAAGACTTTTGAATTATGATAGCTGGCTTCATGTTTCAACTAAAATTAAAGCAGTGAAAAGAAATAGCGTCACTATGCATCACATGTGGTTCTGAAAAGTGCTTGGTCCCCCAACCCTGCCTCCCCATGCCCAACAGTCCTGGGGGCTAGGGGGCATTCTGACTAACATGGGGAACTCATTTTTGACCACTTGGTGGAAGAGTTGGTTTTAGCAAGGAACAAAATGATCTGGGAAGAAGGGATGAGTCTACCCAAGACCCCTTTGTGTCCTTTCAGGCCCAGATTCAATGGCCCCTCCTCAGAGAAGCCTCTCGACCATGTCTCCCACCATTTTCACACTCACACTACTTTTCCTTTTTGGACATTCACTTTTTCATATACCATAATGATCTGTAATTGTTAGTTTATGATATCTAATTGTTAGTTTACTCTCTGCTTCCCCACTAGACTGTCATCTCCATGAGGACCAGATCAAAATCTTTTTTATTCAATACTGTACAGACAACTTCTTAAAACTTGTATTAGTTTGCTAGGTATTCTCTTGCACAGGTCCACAGACTGGAGGGCTTAAACAACAGAAGTTTATTGTTTCACAGTTCTGGAAGTCAGAAGTCCAAGATCAGAGTGTCAGCAGAGTTAGTTTCTCCTGAGATCTCTTTTGTTGGCTTGTAGATGAGTCTTCTCTCTGTGCCTTCACATGGTCTTCCCTCATGGGTTCTCTCATGGATTCTATCAAATCAAGTCTTAAACAGGGAAGTGATGGCCATGGATTATAGAGGAGAGGTAAGTGATATATCTTGGCAGAACTCTAGGCCATGTCTGTGCTAATCTCCTAGGTGTGTCTACTCTAATAAATGTTGGATTAGACCCTAATGACCTTATTTTTACTTTTACTACCTCTTTAAAGGCCCTGTCTCCAAATAGAGTCATCCTGTGGTATCCAGGGGGAATTGGTTCCAGGACGCCCACAGATACCAAAATCTTCAGATGCTCAAGTCTCTGATATAAAATAGCATAAAGTTTGCATATAATATACAATGTCTTCCCATATAATTTAAATCTTCTCTAGGTGACTTATAATACTTAATTTAATGCCTACACATTGCTGCATTCATGTGGATTCAATGTAGTACTCAATGCAGGACAAATGCAAGATTTGATTTTTGGAAATTTGTGGAATTTTTTTTCCAAATAATTTTAATCCATGGTTGGTTGACTCCACGGATGCAGAAGCCAATCCACAGATACAGAGGGCCGACTATATGGTCATATTCTCAGTTTCTGGGGGTTAGAACTTAAACATATAAAATTTGGAAAGGGACACATATCAGGCATTCAACAAATTTTGAGAAAAAGTGAATGACTGATAGAACACAGAAATATCATGGAGTTATTCTCTTGGAAGCAGCTCTGCTGGGACACACTTCTGAAGGACTCTCCTTTTTCCTCCTTCCCTCTCTACTCACCCACACACAAAGGACTCAGACACACGAGTTTGTTAACTTTGGGCTGGACCTAACCAGTCCATTCACACAAAATCCCTTGCCACATAGTTCAGACCTGGAACTCAATCCCAGGAAAGACTAGCGCATCTCCAGGAAGGCTGCCTGGCTTGTACTTGAGGAACTCCAGCTCAATAAGGGGACTAGAGAACACACAGAAGCCACTGGGTCATCTCTACCAGGATGACCACATCATGACAGGGTAGAATTGAGCCGGCAAACCTTGTCCATCTGCTTCCTCCAGGCCTCAGCCATGAATCTTTAGATTACTGCCCATGAGTCTTTATATTCTCCTTCGTTAGCCTTACAAGGGAAACCTCCTAATCTGCTGGTCATCAATGAACTTAAGCAAGGGTGTTTATCATGAGCCTGTATTGCCACCGAAGTGGCCTTGGCTCTCTGTGTCCTAACCCTTTGCTCATTATTTTCCACCAGGCGTCAGGTTTGGAGTTCAAGTCGGTAGCCGACAGTGTTCTGTTTTTACGAGACAAAAGATGGGAAGAGGTCAGAGGTGTCCTGACTTCTGCTTTCAGCCCTGAAAAACTGAACGAGGTAAGACATGGGAAATGCAGACTCTTCTCTCCAAATAGTAATGGGAAGCCAGTTCATGCTATGCCACTGTCAGGTGGCACACAAAATGCCCTGCCCATAGGGGTCTTCAGGCCTCTCGACTATGCAAAAGCATAGGATGCTGCATTGAGTGTCTTCCATTTTCCCAATCGCCATAAGGCAACTTTTCTGAATAGAGGACCGCACTTTACACAGCAAGGAGCTAGAGAACAGCTTGAAACAAAGGCAAGTACTGACTCAACTCTTAAATAGGGAAGTGATGGCCCTGGATTACTGGGGAGGAGTACAAGGGGAACTTCCCAAAAAATAGAATTTTTTTTGGAGGGTGGGCCCCTCGTAGTACAGGCTTCCCCTTTTAGGCAAGTGTTCTAGGAACCAATTGGCATCAGTGTACCAGTTAGCATTGTTGTGAGAGGCTGTGTTCATCTTCAGTGAATTTTTTTCGAGATTCTTTGTACACATTTACCTATTTCATAATGGGTGATTTATGAGCGTACCTGCCCACACTGCACTGAGTGTTCAGCAGTTTTTGACCATAAACGGCATAAGCCCCTTGTCCCACCCTCCCTATTCACCCTATCTCACCCCAAGTGACTTTTTTTGTTTTCCCACATGAAAAAAGTCTTCAAAGGGAAACATATTGTTGATGTGGAGGAGGTAAAACAAAGAACAGCAGAGGCACTAAAAGACATCAAAATGAACAAGTTCAAAAACTGTTTTGAGCAGTGGAAAAATATCTCAATCGGTGTGTTGCATCAAGAGGAGAGTACTCTGAAGGTGACTGAAGTTTAAACATGTAAGATTAAATACACATTTTTTATAAATAAATTCCAGATTTTGAGGTGTTCCCCTCATAGGTCATATGCCCTGGCATGACCTGAGGCAGGCAGGCATGCCCAAGTTAACTTTAAAGTCCAAGTCCAAGGGAAGGGCAGGCTCCACAAGATGCTGCCAATTCTCTAAGACCCTGGGCTTGCTCCGTTTCCTACCCATTGGCCCGCCCTTCCCTACCAGTTGTGCACCTATAACCAGGTGTCTGTGCTGCCTCTCAAGCCACTTGTATACCAGATCCTCATGCTGGGTTTATTTATATCTGAGCCTAGCAGCCCCCTCAATTTAGTCTAGCTTTGGTGTTTGTTGTTCTGAATTCTGCAATAGCTAAGAATGAAAACTTAAGCCCCTCTGATGTGAAGTAGCTAGAGGCCTCCTCCATTTGAGTCCCTGGTGCACTGACAACTCTAGAGCAAGTGACCTTCCAAAGCTTGGCCAGAGGGCCCTGGGCCTCAGCAATCCACCCTGAATGTCTGGGCTTGGTATAGTCTGACCCTGGCTCAGTACATGAAAGCTGCTTTTAGCTTAAGCTCAGATGCATATGGTCCCGATTGAATTCCTATAAATCTGAAGTCTCCCAGAAGATGAGAGGGTTCCACATCTCTTAATATCCAATTAAACTCCCTCAGAAACCAGTGTTCCTGCACATTTTCAATGAGATTTTGATTACATTTCCTTCAGTAGTCTTTGGTATCTGGTGGCCTTACCTGTCTCTGTCGACAGCCCCAGGTCACACTCACATAGCCTGCGTCAGGCTCCACAAGGCCTTCGATTAACACACTTTGTTGTCATCACATTCCTATGAGACAAATGCTTTCACTATTATCATCATTCCCATTTTACAAACGAGGGAGTGAGGCACAAAGAAATTAAGTAGTGCCTTCAAATCACACGGCTAGTAAGTCACAGAGCCAAATCAGGATTCAGCTCCAGAATACTCTTCATGTCTCAATTGCTTCTCTCACCCACATGTGATCTTCAGTGTTCTGGAGCCCCTTAGAACTGTCCCAGAGCCGGTCTGAAGGGTGAAGGAGGGGAAGTAGAGTGAATGGGGCTTCTCTTGAAAGCCAGGGGGTAGGAGGGACAGAAGCAACACTTCTCTATTTTCTGCCTAAGTTTGGACCCAACTGAGGAATGGAAACAGATTTTGGGTAGAGGAAATATACTTTTCTCCTTTCTTACTGGTAAAGCTACTTAAGAAATAGAGTCCCCATCCAGGCTGGCCCTTGGCCCTGGACTTGCCAGGACCTCACCCAGTGGGACCACTGTAGCATCTACCTGTAGGGGGCTGGCAGATCCCATCAGGGCTGGCCCACAGCCCACACATGCTCTGTTCCTTCTTCCTGGGTTCACTCTGATAAGGGAGAGGGTAGAGGAAGTCACTCAGATGCAGCTGTCTTCGGCCAGAGGGGCCCACTGGAATCACCTGGGCACTTTGAAAACTATTGATGCCTGAATAGAAATTATGGTTAAATTGGTGTGGTTTGGAGTGCAGCCTGGGTTTGAGGATTTTTTTCAAGCTCCCCATGGTGGCGCTCTCCTCACGTGTCCTTGTGGGAAGGACCTTCAGAAGGTCCTTCCCACAAGGACATGTGAGGAGAGGGGTACCCTGCTTCTGACACAGAAGTTAGCCTGCTGACACACTTCTGTATTCTCTATTGAGCATATACAGGGACTTTGTTTGAAGGAAGGCCCTGCTTCTTTAAAAAGTTGTAAACCACTGTTCTAAACATCCTAGACAAGCTGCAAGGAGTGTCCATCTTTATCACATCCAGCCACTAAAAGGTTGAGTTCATCAAGAGAAAGGCAGAAGAAGGGAGGTGAGGTTGGTGAACACAGGGTTGGCATTCCCAGCTCAAACATGACTTTATTTGTGAGTGAGCAATGACTTCACAGCACTGTAGACATAAAAAGAACCTCATCATGTATGAAAATGAAATTGCTGAAGGTTATCTGAGATTTTTTTAAAAAGAGAGAAATAAAAGTGAGGAAAAAAGTTTTAGCAGTCTTGAGCTATAGTTCTTTGATAAAATAAATCTTATTAGGGTCTAGATTTCTCTAGAATCTCACAGGGGATACTCCAGAAAGTGATTCAATGTCATTTCCAAGACAAATCCAGTACTCCTGACATCCAGTCTTCTCCTTCCGGTCCAGAAACCAAATCTTCAGTGCCTGAATCAGTTGCATAATGCAGAGTTCCTCCAGGATGTCCACAGTACTAAGATGCCAAGGGGGTGGGGGGAGTGGGGGAAGGAGGAGGAGGAGGAAGAAGAAGGAGGAGAAGG